CTGTAAGCAAGGGGACATACTGCAATTAAAAAAACGAATAATCTAAATTTAGAACACACCACCATATGCATCAAATCGTACATGCAACACCATAGCCCTCAGTTCACGTTTATAACACTGCCCTTTTAGCAGTTAGGGGTTTAAACACAAAAAGCGATGATCTTTGATACAATATCACAAAGATTTTCCGTATTTTCTTGCACCCCTAAATTGTTCCAATCAGAATGGAACTGGCCCTTGACTCAGGAGATATGACATGTGGCCTTTGAAGTTACCCTGAGCTAATTAACAACTCAAGTGAATATAGAAATGAGCAGGAAATGGTGGAGGTTTTTTTGGGTTGATTTTCTTTTAGTAATTCACCATGTCCTCAGGTCTGTCTCTCCTCTTATACATTTGCATATATTTCCCCTTCCCGTGGGCCTCAGGTAAGCTTTCCTCTATAAATGCAAAGCCCTCGTCTTCCTCTTCGCCCACATTAAATGACCCGTCAACGGTCTTACTCCACTCAGCAATCAGCTGTCTGCCCTATTACCACCTCTGACTACCTTTCACAGATGGAGTCGGTAATCTTGGCAGGGAATAAAGCTTGTTATAAACCCCCTTCAGTGGGAATTGCCGATGTAAATTTCTCCCTGTGCAGTCCTCAGTCTTGTACAATAACCCAGTGCAAACAGAAATGTTCAGGACAATGAGCGCTGATTGACTGGCTGCATGGAAATGTGTCGAACTCTCACTGTGGGTTCCTGCTCTACCTGTTCTGCTGCTGATTTTTACAGGCAGGTATTCTATTGTTTCTCTTTCGAGTTATGTTAATGTACTCTGAGATGGATATTTTTCTTCTAAAGTCAGACCTGAGGTGAACCTGCGCTCTTCAAAAACTTTGGAGAAAAAACCTCCTTTGCTTGCCTGAAAGTTTTTACTTTATTGCAGGTAAAGCTCTGCGGTGTTTGCTGTATGCACTGTATACGTACACATAGTGTGTGCTCTGTCAGTTGGCAATAACTACTGTACGTTCTCACTCCTCATAGATTTGTGCTATTTCTAACCATTTGGCCCCTTGTTTTAGTCTTTTGATGAACATGTGTTTTATTTGTTTGTCATATTTAGTTTGATTTTAGTTAGTTTTGTCTAGTTTTAGTCAACAAACGCAGTCTAGTAAAGTTGAAGTTTCATTTTACTGTACTTATTTTCAGTCAACTTGCACAAACTCTGACTGTTTGAAGAGAGACGCTCTCTTGTTGTTCTTGTTCACTTGGCATTCTAACAGCTAACTGTTCTTTCCACTTAAGAGCTGCGTGATAATTCAGAGACTCACTCTTTAGCTTTCTGGGCCTTCATTATTGCTGCGCTATTTACTTAGGGTAGCATATAAACAAGAAATATTGCCAACTGAATGCAAATTTGATGTAATAATGTAGCATTAAAGAGCAACTTTAATGCTACATTAAAGACATTGAAAAACTGGGTGTGTCACTACATGATATTACTCTTGGCTGTCGTTACAGGTGCAACTTTTCTCTTTTATATATATTTTTGGGGCTTTTTGCCCATTGGATAGGACAGCTGAAGATAGACAGGAAAGGGGAGAGAGAGGAGTTGACACGCAGCAAAGGGCCACAGGTCAGACTAGAAGCCATGGTCGCTGCAGCAAGGACTCAGCCTTGGTACATGGGGCACCAGCTCTACCAGGTGAGCTGTCCGGCCACAAAGCACCATTGTGACTAGATCGAACCACACCCATCAGTGATGCTGGTTGTGGTCAGAGGTGAAACAGGATTGAATAGTGAGCGACGACAGTGAAACACTGCTTTAGCTTAGTTACCGTACCTTACCGTTTATAAATATTGCTGGGCTGGCCTGCATGTTTTTATGGATTGTCTAGGCTAAAAACATTGTTTAGTCTTTGTTGACAAAAATTTAAATACATTTTGTCATAGTTTTCACTGATGAAATAAAATATTTTT